TGCCACATATATGAGAGGAAGTGATTTTTTCTATGTTTTGCATGAAACTTGTATTTTATGTAGTTTTTATTTTTCTCAATAAACAACCAGATATGTTCTATAACTTCTGGCTGGATTTCTTTGAAGAACAAGATAAGGACATTGCATTCTTTAAATCTCTCTAATGCTGCTTGTTATATCTGCACTCTGCATAACATGCTCACCAGATCAATTTCAATCCACTGTTATAGGTGGCAAGTATGATGGATCAACTCCAGCCCTGAGGGAGCTACATCATGCTGGGTGAATAGAGTTGTCAGAAAAGGGCCCACTGGCCCACATTTGTTTTCAGCAATTTGAGGAGACTCAAGTCTCCTTCAGACATTTTCCTATTTTTAATTGTCCCATTAATGTGTGATGTTTCAAAACAGGATGCAAGAGGCCACTTTGCTTTACTATAACATACTCCTGGTCAAATGGTTTAATGAGAGAACATCTGCTCTGTGTCAGCTATTAGCAGATCTTGTATATTAAGTGTAAATCTGTGATATGAATTCAGGACCTTTTCAGTTAAGGACTTTCACATAACTGGAATACATTTTGAGCTAAGAAAACTCCCCTTGCCACACATCTCTCTCTCTCTCTCTCTCTCTCTCTCTCTCTCTCCTTTTTTGGTGGAAGAGGGGGATTATTTAATCCAAGTCAGCTTCTTCCTTTTCTGTTACCTATGTACCAGCCCTTCTGGAGCATGGGCTGTTCCCTAACACTTAAACCTGACAGCAATAACCACTGTGAGGACACAGGCCTACACTAAAAGAAGAGACTGATTTCATTGGTTATGTGAAACCTTGACAAGGTTAATGATGTTAGTCCTTCATGTTACCCCAAAACTGAATTCTTCATGAAGATTGCATTCAACTGATTCTTTAATCTTTTCATTTATAATTCTTAATAAAATCATTTAAAGGCCAATACAATACAAAAAGTACAAAGAGAAAAAATACAAAGGAAAAAGAAGGGGGGAGGGTGGATCAGAAAAAAAGAAAAGGAAAAAAGGAAAAAAAGAAGAAAAAAGAAGTAACTTCCCCCTTCATCCCAGCAAGTAGAAACAATTTTAATAGCTTATCACCATTTCTAAATACAATATAATCTCTCTTCTCCCCATAGCTCATCTCTTAGATAAAAAAACAAAAAACAAAATCCAAATAATTTGTCAATCGCTTATTGTCAGCAAAAGTCCAGTAAGGGTAACCAGATATAACTGTCGTCTTTCAGCCCTGATCAAACAAGCCAACCTTGTGTTCCTTCCCTGAGTTTTTAAACATAGTCTTTAACCCCTTTCAAAAGAGTCCCAGACTGATGTCCTAGCTGATCATCTGTGTTTCAACGCAAAAATCTTTCTGAACCTGAACAAATTTTGTTTGTATATTCAATAAGTAGAGTTTATCCTTTTGTTTGATGCTTCTAATAAAGTCCTTCAAAACCTTAACAGAGCAATTTTGAATATCCAATAAAAAAAATATCCAAATCTCTTTCCTGGTTTAATATCTGTACATCACCTTTAGGGAATCGGTCATCCATCAGATCCATTTGTGTTACATTTAAGTCCCCCCTCAAGTCAATTTCATAAACATCTATTGCAATTTGTTCTTGTTCTGTATCTTCATTACAACATGCTCTGTCCAACCTGTCAATCAATTGATCCATTCTAAGAAGAAGTTTAGTAGAAAAGTATTCAAAAAGATGCAGTACAGATTTCCACTTCGATTTCTTTATCGGCTCCATATTCTGTATCCTTTATCTTCTAGCTCCCTCTAGTGTCCAACCTTCAAGGTCTCCTTATATTAAAGAGCCAAAGTAATTGTCATTTTCCCATGAGAAATTATCTTCTAATTAATTCAAAGCTATAATTCCAAATCCCTCTGGCCCATTGTTAACTTTCTAGAATCCATATACTAAGCACCCTTTTGCTGCTTAGTCCAAAAAACCATACATTTTCCAAAGCTTTTAAAATCACATTTACACCATCGTTCTCTAAGGGGGAGGAGACCCACCCAATGAAAACAGTAAGACCTTGCCAAGCTGATGAGTCTTAATCTCTCCAGTAAACAACAAAAAGAAATAATAATCCAAAAAAGGTGATTAAGAAATGAGGCTCAGTCAAGCTTAATGTCTGTGAAGGCTGCTTTGCGAGTGTAAGCTTGATAAAATCCTGACTCCCAGCCATTCCACTCAGAAGCCGACTGCAAAAACAGCAGTTTCCGTGCTTTACTCATTGAGTAGTGGCTGTACAGAGTCACGTGGGTAATCTCAATGCTCTCTCCTTCTCCGGAGAGATTTCGCCAGTCTGGATCCAGCGTCCAGCTGCAGCTATGCTCGCAGTCGCTATTCTGCCTCAGACAGGATGTCAGCTCGCCATGGCTCCCACAGGAAGTGAAGATCGCATTCAACTCGTTCATTCAAAATGCACAGACTGAGTTTTTCTGCCATTTGGTGAAAAGTACCAGACCGCACAGCTAAAAGGTTTATTTTGGACTGCTGAATTTGAGAGTAAGGTGTAAGAACCGTAATTCAATTGGCCATTTTAAACAATTTTAATTTTAAACCATTTTAATTAAACAATAAATTAAAAAATTAAACATTTTAAACAATAAGAAAGCTGGCATCCTTCTGCAAAGAGGGAAAACTGCCCGATGTCCAAGTATATATCTTTTTGGTGACATGATCTATCTTCATAAACCAGATCATACCTTCATTTTTTAAAAAGCTGAAAGGAGGTCTTCAGCTCAGGTTTGGTAATCTACTGTGGTTGTCTCTCTAAATTCTAATTTCAATTCCAGAAAAACATGCTCTTTCTTGGGAATCTCACAAGACCTGAATTTGTACATTTAGCTCTGTTTTCCATTTGTTGTCTAACGCTGGGCAAAGCAAAGCATATGGTTGTATAACAAAACTCTACTTTTAGCAGCTGGCTACAGGTAATAAAATGCTGATTGTCCTGATATCGTATGAAGTTCTACTGTAATTTCAGGAAAAGTATTCCCAGGACAAGCGATTCTGGATGACCCATTTGACGTCTCTATGGAAGACACAGTGAATTATACAGAATTATATGAAAATCTCACTAATTTTGTAAGTTTACTTTTTCTGACATCTTTTCTATTTTCTCAAAATAGATGCAGCTAGGTATTTCTTGCACCCATTCATATCTACAGCTGAATTATACAGAGAAAAAAAATGTTCTGATTCTGGTTTTTGTCATACTCATTACCTCCAAAATTTGCATTTTAATATCCACATCTATTGAAATTAAGGCTTCCTATGATATTAAATATTTGAGTCTGATCACATCATCAAAACTTACTTCATATACATAAAATGCAAAATAAAAATAATATAAAAATAATACGTGTATTACATTTATAAAGTAATGATACATTTCTATACGATATAAACAGTTTTCAAACATTTTAATTTGTAGTTAAACCAAGCAGTTATTAGGACTTTTGTTGTTGTTGTTTAGTCGTTAAGTCGTGTCCGACTCTCCGTGACCCCATGAACCA